TGAGTACTACATATAAAATACATAATACAGATCATTTTATGCATATTATATATAACATAAATAAAATATGTATCATTACACTTTTTTCATTTTGAATTAATTTTGCATTTTTAGAATATGCGTAAGAATGGTAGAAAGACTTCCCATGTGTCCCTCCCTTTTCTTAGATTCCTTGATTGTCACACAACATCTGAAAGTTGCTCATGTGATGTCCCTTTCTCCTATAAATTTTAAAATAAAAACAGTTTACTTAATCACAGTACAATGAACAAAATCAGGAAATTAACATCAATAAAAATACTACTATCTAATCTGCCTTCTTTGCCCAATATGTACCAATTATTTCACGAACACATATTACAGCAAATAAGAAAGTAATTTTGTTTCTGGTCTACGATCCAACCTCCATGTGGTCCAGGGTCCATTAATGCCCTTTGATCTGGAACAGTTACTTGGTCTTTTTGTCTTTCATATCTTTGACTTTTTAAAAAGAGACGAGGCCTATTGTTTGTCTTTTATTTTTATTTTTTTTTATTCATTTGTTTCTGTTACAGATGTTTCTCATTTTTCCCCCATTGACACCCTCCTCCTTCCCCCTCACCTCATCCCCAGCTTTGTTGCCTATGTTCATTGGTCATGCATACATGCATGTAAAATCTGTGGTTCATCTCTTCCCCCCAAACCCCCTTCCTCTGAGGTTTGTCAGTCTGTACCCCACCTCTATGTCTCTGGGTTAATTTTGTTCAGCAGTTTGTTTAGTTCATTATATTCCACAAGTAAGTGAGATCATGTGATGTTTGTCTTTCTCTGCTTGGCTTGTTTCGCTTAACATAATACTCTCCAGGTCCTTCCATGCCATCTCAGAGGATAAGAGATCTTTCTTTCTTACAGCTGCATAGTATTCCACAGCTTTTTAATCCACTCATCTACTGATAGACACTTGGGTTGTTTCCAGATCTTAGCTATTGTAACAGTGCTGCTACGCCTATTGTTTTGTTGAATGTCCTTGACTTGCCTTTTGTGATGTCTCCTCGTGACTGCACATGCATTTTCCACAGGAACACCATAAAAACAATGCTGCATGCATCCTTTCTGATACACTGTAGTGCCGGCCACGCGGTGCCCAGTTTCCCCTTTTTTGGTGAGGTTAACTTTGGTTATTTGGTTCAGGTGCATTCCTCATTGTAAAGTTTCTTCATTCCCTTTATAACAAATAATACATTGTGGGGAGATGCTCTAAGACCATACAAACAGCCTATTCCACATCATAATTTTATTAACTGGATTAGCATCCAGATCATTTTTGCCTGAAACAATGATTACTAGGACGTTGTCAAATGGTGACAATTTCATCACGCCTTCTACATTCACTCGTTGGCATCCTACCATGAAGGAAAGGTTTCCCTACGGACTCATTTAATTATTTACTTAAGCATTTATTTAATTATGTATGTGTGGACTCATGCTTTCTTATTTTATTGGATGAGTGATAATCCATCACTACCATCATTCATAATGATAATCACACTGCTCTGCATTGGCCCGTGGAGGTGTTTTCCAGCTCTTTCGACATAGCACCATGACGTGTTGAGAGGTCCTTTACTCTGGCACAAAAAGATGATCTGGGTTAGTTTTATTGTGGTTGCTGTGTTTTTGTTTTTTCCCTCAGCCATAATACAGGAATCGGTTCTTTTTCCAAAACACTCTGATGTGTTTCCTCTTTGTGGAAATGTATGAAGAAACCAAATTATGGGCACAAGGGATGCGCCCACCTCCGGGATGTCCTTCTGCTACGTGCTCTCAGCCGACAGCTATCATAAGTGCCTATTATACGTGTGCATAGACCTTCCTCCTCTCGTATCTGAAAGGTACGCGCGGCGGGGTCAGAATCCACTCAATCCTGCCTGTGGGCGTCTAGGCTTTTCCTAAGTCTCTGCGATCACAAACCACGTTATAATGAACAGTCTTGTGCACATGCATTTTGAAGCGAAATTTCAGATGTGAAAAGACTGGTTAACAATGACAAATGCACATTGTTGTTACAGATTGCTAAGAGGACTGCATCAGTTCACATTCTTGCAAGCAATTTTGAGAGTTTCTCCTCCCAAAGCCTGTCCCAGGGTGTGTCCTCGGACCAACAAACGTGTGCCATTCTCCTGCGTGGTAAGCGATGTGTCAGGTGGCTCTTATTCCCACGCCTCCCACTGTAAGGCTGCACGTACTTGACTACGCTGAAGGGCCATGTTTACCTCTCCCAAGGCCCTGTGGTGCCTGGGCTCCTTTTGCTGGGGAACTTCTTGTTTGTTTCATTAATAACTTCTAATTTAAAGAATGTTTTTGTCTGTTCGCAATATTGGCCCTTTATCTGTGATGCGCATTGCAATTTTTCTTCTAGTTTTTCAGCTGCCTTTCAACTGTGTTTACAGTGAATTTTATTCAGGAAAAGGCTTCTTTCTTGCAGTTAAATGCATCCGTCTTTCATTTTGTTTTTTATCTGAATTTCTAGTCAAAGTACCAAATTTTTTTTTTTTCTACTTTCAAGCTATCGAGAAACATGGATGCTTTCTTCTGGTTTTGTCAGATTTCTTTCTAGTTTTGTGTTTTTATTGATTTACACTGAAATTGCACACGTGCTTGGAGTGTGTGCTTATGCATCCTGGGAGATTTGGATCTCAACGAGCCCCCATTCCGAACGGCCAGCTGTCCATCATGTCACGACAGCCTCTGACCTGCGGATTTAGATGCTGTCCTTATCAGATGCCAAATTCCGAACGTACCGAAGTCTGTTTTTGGACAGCCTGTTTCCCTGGATGTATACAATTATGTACTTTGGCCTTACACCCCAAAGTTTTAACACAAAGAATTTCTACTGTAACGCATCGTGTGGTGCCAGTCACTTCTCACAGCTTTCCTTCTCCGTTATTTCTTTACTATTTTTACATAATTACCACCCCCCTCCCCCTTAGGACTTCATTATCAACTTTTCTTGCTCCTTACAAGAGCTTTCTGGTGTTTTTATTTAAATGACATCAAATATCTATCTTCATTTATGGAAGCTGACATATTTGTGATGTTAAGTCATTCTATACAAGAACAAAAATTTCTTTTTTTAAAAAAAAATTCTGCTTAGGGTCTTTCAAGTGAAATGTACAGATCTCTGAAGTTTTAAAAAATGAGGTTATAATTGGCAGTAGAGCTCACTTTATTGATGAAATCTAATTTCCAGGATTTTAAAAGTTTTACTTTTAAGTATGGAATATGTCAAGCAATTACCCAAAATGCCAGTAGCTAACCTTTCCTGATTTTCCCACTTGATACTAAAGGAAAGATTCTCTTCTGTGTGCACAGGACGGTCTCTTCCTAGCCTGGTGCTGTATGTGTGTGCTGCCAACTCCCAGTTCCAGCTCCTGTACCGATAAAGGGTACATTCAATGACACTGCAGTTTTCTCTGACTTTTTGAAATTTAAGATATATAAATGGAAACTGGTGTTAATGTCAGAGGTCCAACGTGTACATCCGACAACTGTGAGATACTGACATGAGCAGCAAAACTGACATTTCAGAAATATACTGGGACAAATCACAAAGTCCGCATAGTGGTGTCCAATTAGACAGTTACACATCCATGTACTAACTACACATTATATATTACTGCCACCCACAAGTCAGAGTAACAGAAGACACTGTCCACTTTGTTTATTTGCTGTAAGACTTTTAAATATATTTTCACTTAAAATAAATTTTGTCTTTTTTTTTTTTGGAATCCTCACCTGAGGATATTTTTCCATTTATCTTCAGATAAAATGGGAGGGAGAGAGAAAGAGAAAAAGAAACATCTATGTGAGAGACACAGTGACTGGTTGCCTCCTGCAGGCCCCCGACCAGGGCCAGGAACCGAACCTCACCCTTGACCAGAATCAAACCCCCGACTCTGGTCCGCAGGCTGATGTGCTAACCACTGAGCAACTGACCAGGGCAATTTTGTCAATTTTTTAATTGCTTCAAAAATATGTAGTCATACAAGTAGGAAAACATTATTGGAAAAAATTAACAAGAGTACAAATATTGTGTTCATAATTGTTTTCCCAACATGATAGATAGTATTAAAATCTTCAAGTATACAAATTTGAAAATTATTTATATTGAACCTCTGTATGCTTAAACCTAGTCTTCTATTAACATTTCACTATAATTGTTTGTCACATATCAGGATATCCATCAGCATCCATATCATGAGCAAAAATTTGAACGTATTTTTAATTTCTCTTAAATACATATCTAGGCCCTGGCTGGTTTGGCTCAGTGGTCAGAGTCCCGGCCTGAGGACCAAAGGGTCCCGGGTTTGATTCCTGGTCAAGGGCATGTACCTGGGTTGCAGGTTCAAACCCTAGCCTTGGTCGGGATTGTGAAGGAGGCAATCAAAGGATGTGTCTCTCTCACATCAATGTTCTGTCTTGCTCTCCCTCCACCCTTCCACTACTAAAAAAATAATCAATGGAAAAATATCCTCTGGTGAGGATTAACCAAAAAATTATGGATGGATGGATAGATAGATAGATAGATAGATATAGATATGAGAGAATGGCATTACTAGGTCATGGAGCTAGTGAATGTTTAGTTTAAAGGAAGTCTTCCAAACTGTTTCTCTAGTGGCAGTACCACTTTAAATTTTCACCAACCATCCGAGAGGGCCAGCTGCTCCACAGTCTCGCCAACACAGATCTGTCGTCTGTTTGATCCCCTGTCATTCTGGTGGGTATGTTCTGCTCTCTCATTGTGGTTTTAACTTACATTTCCATGATGATGAACAGCTCCGGTGATTTCCAGCTGTGTGATGGTTATTTGTATGCCATCGATCTTACAGTATTTTTTATTTAGTTAGTTATAGGAGACGTGATGTATCTCTGGATAAGTCCTTTCTCGGGTGTATATTTTATGAACATTTTCTTTTAGATGAATGTTTGCCTACGTGTTATTTATGTACTTACTATTATTTTTGAATTGTCTTTTCCTGAAATGTTGCAGATGAGTTACAGCAAACATAACGGTGACCATCAAGGAAAAGGGTCACTTTGGGCTTCTTTTTTTCCATCATCATTTATTCCCCACCCCCACCCCCACCCCCCGGGCTGCAGCTCTGATAAGGACCACTCGCTTACATATTTCTTAAAGATGGCTCTGAATGAGGAGAATTAAAAAAAAATTTTATAAAGTCTACTTTATCACTTTTCTTTTTCCAGTCATTACTTTCAGTGACCTAATGAACCTTTTCTCCTAAAGTCATGAAGACAGTCCTCGAAGTTCTTCTTTAAAGCTTTGTGGGTCTCGCTTTTACATTCAGGAATACGTTTCATCTTGAGCTGACCCGTTCAGGCGGACAAGGCGTGAGTGGAGGTCATTCTTCTGCATGGTGCCCAGTAGGGCATCACCACGGGCAGTCATTCTCATACGAAGCTCACAGCTTCTCTGCCTTGGCTGTACACCCAGGACCTTAGAGAGTGGGCCTGTTTCTGCACTATATTGTTTTCTGTTGATCTCTCTGATATTGATACCAATGCCACGTTGTTTTGATTACTCTAATTTATAAGTCACAAAATCAAATAGCTGCCTGCTTATTTTTGTTATTTTTTTTTATATTCAAATTTCTTGGCATTTCCTGATACACTAGGAATATCATCAATTTGTAATTTTAGGAGTCTCTGGGATTCTAGTTACGATAACTGTAAATATCTAAATCAATTTGGGAAGAACTGAAGTCTTGATAAAATTGAATCATGTAGTCTGTGATTATTGTTTATCTCTCCATTTATTTAAACCTTTTCAAAAAATTTCATTTTTTTCTCAGGAATATAAGAATGTTTTCCAGAATGCATAAAAAATATTATTAACATATTTAGTTATTACTTTATCACAGAAATGTTGTCTCTAGTTAGAAAAAAAAGAAACTCAGTATCAGTATAAAATATTATGGAATGGAATGGCCTGGCCGGTGTGGCTCAGTGGCTGAGATCCCTGGTTTGATTCCTGGTCAGGTACATGCCCGGTTGTGGGCTTGATCCCCAGTGGGGGGCGTGCAGGAGGCAGCTGATCGATGTTTCTCTTTCACATTGATGTTTCTATCTTTCCCTCCCTTCCTCTCTCTCTAAAAAAAAAAAAAAATCAGTAAAAACATATTCAACAAAATATTAAGAAAGGAAGGTGCTATTATATTGAACAAGCTTGCAGTCCGATAAGAGCTGTACATCACTGCCACTTGAATTCCAGTTTTAGGTTACATGACTCTATACAACTTTGCAGCCTCCGGGGAGCCCCGTATAAATGATCGGGATTCAAGTTCCACTGTCTGCTTATCGTCACCCCTGTCTGTGACCTTGTGCTGAGTGACCCAGTGCAAACTCCTCTCTCTGTCTCTCTGACCCTTTCTTCAACTCTCAGATGGTGAGATGATGGTGATGTTGTCAGAATGTAAAGATATAATAGAGGCAAAGGCTTGGAATGTTGATGTAATAGAGTGAAGCATCAATAAAAACCAACTCTCGTCATTATAACTTTTTTTTCCTTCAGCCTGTCAAGTCCTTTTCTGCTTCAAAGACTTTCTGTTCCCTTTGTCTATTTACTCGGCTCCTTGCAGAGCAACCTCTTCATCCTTCCTATCATTGCTTCAACGTGCCTTCCTGGGAAAACCCTCGCCATCCTTTTATGGAGAGGACGGTGCTGAGTTCTCCGTCTCAATCACTCGCTTACTACCTGCAACGAGATTCACACTGAAAAGTTTCTTTCGAAATGTTTTGTTTTACTTTGCATATCTGTTTTTGAAGCTTCCAGTGGACATTAGGGACCATGGCTGCGCTGCCCACCTTATCTTTACGCAGTACGCACGGAATCTGTCTTAGGGAGATACTCGGTGAACACTTACGAAATAAAAGAATTTTCACTGAGAAACAGGATGGTGCTCATTTTAGAAATTTTGATAATGGTTCCTGAGTAGAATTTCCATCTTTTCAAGTTAAATACTAAGAATCATAGGTAAGTGAGTTTTTATTTGAAATATCACCCAAGTTTCAGATGAGAAACATAGCTGAAGAACGTATACACGCACCTGCATAACCAGTGGACACGGACGATCGCGGGAGAAGGCCTGGGGAGGGGCAGGGCCTGGGAGGAGGGGAGGGAAGAGTGGGGGAATTGGGGGACATTTGTAATACGGTCAACAATAAAATTTTTTAAAAGAAACGGAAATATAACTAATTCTCTTCTTCACTGGAACCTGCAACTCAGACGTAGCACTTTGAAGGGGTCACCCACTGTGAAAGGGCCCTCCCTTCTCCAGAGTCCCCGCCTGAAACACCGTTCTTACAAAATACTTGTTTGTTTCACACGATGTTTAGAGTAATTATTCATTCAACACACACGCGCTGACTTTGTTTCCGGGTGCTAAGCATGCTTCTGAGAGCTCAGAAAACATGACCCAACAACAGAATCCACGTCACAGTGTCGGAAGGAAATAGGTATTTAAGAGAATATGGACGAGATTCTGGGTCAAGACTTGAAGGAAGTGACCTATCATTTGAAATGAATTTTCTGTTTCTTGAAAGGACACGCTATGGCCACAGGGAAACTCCACATCTTCACAGGGTCTGCATTTCCACACCTACCTTCTTGTTTTCACTTTTCCCTCCATTCGAAACCACGTTTCCCTCTCTCCATCTCTGCCACCATCCTGGCTGTAGCTGCCATTACTTCGTCCTTGGCCTTCTGCCTTACCCTGTCCTCCCATGCTCCTGCAGACACTATCTACAGATTCGTGACAACTGTATGGATCGTGGGTCATGTCACTTACATACTTAAGCTTCTTCCAAGGCCCATCCCTGTTCTGATGATAAAAGGAAACATTGACAGAGCCCCCATGGCCCTGTGCCGCATGCCACAACCTGCCCCCGCAGCTGCCCCTCTTACCCCTCATTTGTCACTTGACTGTGTTGCCTATATTTCAAGCACTCAAGCATACCCTGGTCTTGCTGCTTCGTAGCCATAGTACATGCTACCCCTCTGCCTGAGCTACTCACACTCCATCCAAACCTTCCTCACACAGTCGGGTCCTAAAGGAAGCTCTCCCTTACTGCCCTCCCCTCTGCCCTTGGAGAACAGGTCCACTCTGTGTGTTACGGTCCTTACCTCCCTACTGAACGGAGGAGAGCAAAGGGAAGTCAGAAACCCTTGGGCGTGGTCAGCTGGGGACACTGAGCTTGTTGGCTTCACCAGGAAGCTGCAGCTTCACAGCCCAAGGCATCGCAGCTGTGTGCCCCACGGGGGATCAACACCCCTCCCTGGCCTCCTGGGTATCCGACCGATCCGCTGTGTGAGAGAGGGGAGCCGGGGAGGTGAGGGCACACACAAGAAAGCCAAAATGGTGCAGGGGGTGCTCGACCCTAGGGGCTCTCAGTCCAGCATGGGAAGGGATTACTGAGCCCTGCAGAAACCTGCAAATTCTTGGTAAGTCGATTGGTTATTTTGGAAAAGCCTGAGAAACATCATTCCAGGTGGACCGAGATGCTCTCGGCCTCACGGGCGCATCCGCCCGTCTCGCCCCAGAGCATGTGGCCCGAGAAGCCCCACAGACGGCCCGGGCGGCCTGGGTGCGGCAGCGCAGCAACCGACTGCAGCCGGAGCACTAGCTGGGCTAGCTGGATGCGGGACTGGCCTCCACCTCCAATGCGGCAGGACGTGGGGACACAGATGGCCGTCAGAGGGGCATCTTTCTGATTGTGAACCACAAATAAATATTTCCACCAAACCTCATCCTCCCCCATGGGTCCCTGGAAATGCTTTTTCTTGTGACTCTGCAAGGACCCCACTTCCACCGGCAACAAATACATGAGCTCAAAGCACCCCGAATTTCTCCTCTGTAGCACTGTATTAAATAATTTTTTCACTAATTCAGTATTTGTCTTACCTTCTTTTAAAAAGGTTGTGATGTTTTTGTTGTGTTTACTGCTCCAATTTCACTACTCTGTACAATTTTCACATAGAGTAGATATTTAATAAATGCTTGTTGAAGAATGATCTACGTTTCCATTTATGAAAGTGAACACTGATTTAGGAAAAAAAGAAATGTCAGCAGATTAAACATGTTTAAAAGCTGACAAATACCAAGTAGCACAAAACAAAAACAAAGTGACATGTTTATCAAGCGCCTTACAGACCACAATTACACTTCCATCTATTACATTCTGTGTCCTGTTCGATCGCCTCGCCACACGACAATTTTGTCTTTTTCCTACGGACATAGAAAAATTAACTAAGACTTTCATCTAGCTTAGTGAATCCTTTAAAACATTTTCATAACCAGAACACATAAAAGATGCACTTTTACACATAAATATACTGTAACACTGTCAACCATAAAATTAAACATGGGATTCTGATGAATTGCATTCGCGTAGTAGCCACCGAAGGAAGTGCGTTCAGGACTGTATACGGGGTGAGCTCGTGAAACAGGGTGCATTCTTGCTTTGTTGCTCGTTGGCTATTGCATTCTTTCCCACAAACCACTGCAAACCTACTTGTGCCCCACCTAGAATATTGCATTATCGAATCTATTGCTGACCTGATTATTGAACCCGTGACACTCCTTTCAAGCATGCGTGCTTGGACACAGGAAGACTTTTCCAGAGAGCAGCTTCTTGTACTGCACGCGTCTGGGTGCCACAGCACACGGCTGGGCGGTAACATGGCCTCGGGTCTGGTGTTTGTGCCACAAGGCTGGTAAGTCAGAGCAACCACAGAGGTGGTGAAGCATTTGGGAGAACACACCTCGTGTCTCGCTGTTACAGAGAACAATAACTACACACACGGGACCTTGAACCCCACAACTATATTCCCATATGCCTGCATTAAATCTGTTTTCTAATCGATTTCCTCTCAACCAAATCTGTTAGATGCCACTCTGCCCCTGGGGGAAGGGGAGCAGGGTGGGAAGACATCGGGCTCCTGAGAGAGAGGTAGACTGTCATCCTTGTGAAGACACGTAAGCACGTGGCCATGGGAACACACTGCAGGGCGCCTCCCTGACTTCGGGAGAGGCTCGCTGAGGAAGTGGAAGTTAGTGAAACTTAAGAATCATTAGCGTTGCGATAAATCGATCTCTTGTGG